TGAGCCAGCGAGCCATGACGTCACGACAATAGATACGAGACGTTACTCGAGTTGTGCGAGGTATCGGCTGAGATTTGTGGAGTACAATTCAAAAAACAACTATAGGTCTAATAATGAATTATTGTGAATGGTGATGTTAAATAGACAATGTTAGCTATCAAGGAGCGACGCTGTTTTTCATTTGGACCTTCTTCCCTTCAAGGCTAGGCCTATACCATCCTAGCTAGTCTAGGCCTAGAGTAGGATGGCTAGCGCAACATGCGGGCGTTGGTACGTGTTGGTTAGTCTGCAAACGTCGCCTAAAGTAATTGATTTTACCCGGCAGAACGTAAGAAGGAAACTCCGCTTTTCAGTCGTCTCAGGCCCTTGTTTTTTGACAAACAATGATTTCAGAGGTCAAATTGCTGTCAAGAATATGAATTGGCTGCTTCGCAGCAAAAAGTATGATTTTAGTTTTGAAAAAGGCAACATTTATGGCAGTTTTTGTTTGAAGAGGAAGTTTTGTTCCATAACACAGGAGCTGCACATGAAAGTGATCGTCTGCCATATGTATGTGCTTTCCACATGTGAACATGAAGTAAATGTTGTTTAGAAGATCTCTGGTTACAAGAAGTCGTTTGGAGCTGAATGATAATGTATTGAGGCGCAAGGCCATGCAGAGCTTTATACATAATTAAAAGGATTTTATTGGAAGCGAAATGATACAGGAAACCAATGAATTTCTCTGAGAATAAAAGTGATGTGCTGTGAAGTCAGTTTGGGTGATGAGCCTAGCTGTGGTGTTCTGTGCAAGTTCAAAGATGTAGAGTTACTTTTCTGGAAGACCGAACAGAAGAGCTTTGCAGTAGTCACGTCTGGCAGAAACAATGCCAATAATCTCAACATGCTATCAGCGAAAAGCATAGCAAAACGCCAGTATCAACATGCAATCACTGGTGTATGATAATAAATAGTTAAATAAAAGTCATGCATCAATTATTTTAAACACAACCACTGGCCAAAATTTGATCAATCACAAACAGCCTAGATGTAAACAGGAAGAGAAATGCGCGATTACCAATTTTTGTATTTCGCACGAATACTTACAACACTGTTCCCTGCTTACAATAGTGTTAAATTAATCGCCCAGTCTGAACTCAGTAGTTACACCTTGAATTGATGTACTCCAAGCATTAGATAAGAGTGGCATCTCTGATGTCTGAATGTAGCCTTAATAGTAGGCTTACCTCATGTTCTTGGCTACCATCAGTGCAGAAACAATGTTTATATTTGTTTTGCACTCCTCCACTGTACAGTTTCATCCTTATGTTTGTTATACATGACTTGTCTTTCTTCATGTATATTTTCATTACTTTTCAAAGAAAGAAAAGTGTATGATTATTATAAGCTGACAGTTTAAAAATGTTAACTTGTGAAAGCTATCTCTTTGGTTATCAATTAATTTAAACAAACTTACTGTATAAAATTACCTCATGAGTCTTGTTTTGCCTCAGAGAGCTGTTTTTGTTAGCTCCTCTTACAAATGTTGACTTGCATTGACGACTGTCTTGTCATGGAGGAATTAGTTTGGTCTTGTGCAGTAGATGGTGCTGCGAGAATTGTATTGTGGTTATTCCTAGCATTTGGATTATTTGTTGTCTGCTCAAAAGCTGTGTCTTCTCTTTCTGTTTTATTGTCTTTAGGTTTGTACTAATCTATCAAATGTAAGAAGTTTTCAGACTAACAGAAAATGCCAACAAAACTAGGCTTAGAAAAGTGTATAATTATTATAAACAGACAGTTTAAAAATGTTAACTTGTGAAAACTATCTCTTTGGTTATCAATTAATTTAAACAAACTTACTGTATTAAATTACGTCTTCATGAGTCTTGTTTCGTCTCAGAGTGCTGTTTTTGTTAGCTCCTCTGAAAAATGTTGACTTGCATTGACAACTCTGTTTTGTCATGGAGGAATTAGTTTTGTCTTGTGCAGTAAATGGTGCTGCGAGGATTGTATTGTGGTTATTCCCAGCATCTGGATTATTTTTGTCTGCTAAAAAGCTGTGACTTCTCTTTCTGTTAATTGTCTTTGTATGTTATCAAGAAGTTTTCAAACTAATGGAAAATGCCAATAAAACTAGGCCTATTGGTATATTACCCAATTAATAATAAATATCATATGTCAATTCTTTCAAGTTTGCCACCATGTTTTAGAAATGACTGTGTATCTAGTCCCCTAGTAATGACTGTTTATAGGCAACAAATAGGCAGTGTAACAATACAGTTAACAAATTTGTTTGTAGGTCTACCAATGAGATATTGTAGAACAGAAAGAATATGAACAAAATAATAAATTCATTTTTTAATCTTTTATTCTCTAGGGCCTAGGCCTAGAAAGATGTGTATGCCTAGTTTTAAACATTCTCACATCATCTGTGCAGTTCTTTTGTGTGTTGATTCGGTCCTACTAAATACCACACAGACCACATGAAACCACACGACACCACACGAATGTAAAATGATTAAAATATTACCACACAAGAGTAGAAAACGACTTGATAATCAATAAAAACCAACTTTTATAGTGATACAGTAGCTCTCCGAATTATAGTAATAATTTACTATTTTTAACAGGTTTTTGCCGCTGTGCTTCAGAAGGTAATGCGTTGACATTGAGTATCTCTAACGCATTGACGTTTGCAGAAACGCATTCAACTATAACTTCTTAAATAGGCTTACTACACTCACTACGTATGTCATTTCATCGAGAGACTATTACAGTATTTTAAAAATTCAAGGCACATCACATAAAATCTAATGAACTTCAAAATTGTAAATAAGAAAAATGGAAAAATATTATTAATTTTGTTGTTAAAAATTACTAACTTTATTATGTTATAAGTAGGCCTAATATACAAACTTGTACTATTTATTATTGTTATCACATAATTATTATACTGTAATGTAATAGGCCTTATCTATTTAAATTATGAGGCTAAGTTACAAAATTTGAAAATTAAAAAAATATATACAGTTCTTACAAAATAGGATTGAAATAAAGGAGGGTGTGTCTCACACGGAAGAGAAAAATTGTCAGTTCAGAATTCATTCCGTTATAGTTATTAGATGTTTGCTTCCTGAACTACTGTAGGGCTAACAGTGTTTATAGTTTATTGTCATATACATCAGCCCTGCACTACATAAACCATTACTGTTATTTTATCAAGATACACCCTTTGTGCTTTGCTAATTAATATGTCAAACCAAGGCGGTATAAAGGGTCAAACTATGCAAGATATCACAATAAAGAAGGTGGCAGGGACGATTAAAATTTTCGAGAAGAAATAAATATATTTTTCATTTCCCAAAAGACGTCAACTCTTGTTTTCTGTCACTTGTGATTTATCTCGCTAAAAATATGCCTAAAAATCAGCAACAGCAACAGCAACACCATGAAGCAACGATGGTAAGCGTACTGTTTAAAAAAAAAATTAACCTTCTATAAACTGATCTCTTGCGTACTTTTATGAAATAACAAATGGTTTATATAGCTGTACAGAGCTGATGCATGCAAATTAGCAGAGGTTACTTATGAAATATTCCGTACATGGTAAAATTTAGGCCAACATATTAGCTCAGGACATAGTAACTTAATAATAATAATAATGAAGGGAGTATATATTTGATGAAAAATGAATTAAAAAAAAAAAAAATTGTCCTACTCTGGTAACCCCAATGGAAACTTCGAAAATTCTGTTATTTATCACTTCTAATCATATATTTTATAAATGTTAATCTTCATTCTTTGTATGTACACTGAAATTAAAAAAAAAACATGTATGAGCATTGAAAGAAATAAAAAAATAGAATAAATTATCTAACAATACATTAATACAAATACCACAATTTAAATACTCAGTTTATTTTAATGTACAGCAGAGTAAAAGTTTATTATCGTTCATGTGGTACTGTAGTACATATTTTGAGTGATGCTATGAAACGAAGACACGAAGGTCATGGTTGAATGCGTTTCTGCTGACACATGCGTTATAGATCCAAAATGTCAACGCACCGAGACACGTCGGGCAAAACCAACAAAGCAAAAAACATACATCGATTTTAAACAGAATTTGGACAATTATCGTTCTAAAAGTTGGTTTCTATTGATTAAGCAGTTTTCCACTCTCGCTCGTGTGGTAATATATTTATCATTTTTGCATCTGTGTGGTTACTTAAGTGGTGGCGTGTGGTATTTAGTATTAAAGACCCCTACCATACCATTACTTATCATCATTTCATCACATGACTAGTGTCTAGGCCTCTAGCTAGGTAGGCAGCTTGGCATCATGCCTATCATCAGTACTTAGTAGTAGTAGTAGTAAGTACCTCTCTCTAGGGGCCTAGGCCTAGGCCTATTCAGTATTCTACCCTTCTATTTTAGTATTGCTTTTTACCTGGTGGTTAGGCAAATCAATCATTAGTTTGAGGCCAGGCTGCTTGATACTTTCAGATCAACCAAAGAATAGGCCTAGGCCTACTGTATACATTTTCTATGTTCTTTACTTTGCATCAACGTACATATGGTGCCATAGCACCACAGACGAATAATAGGGTACCGGGGGGAGGGGCGATTTTTTTTTGCCAAACGGGAAGCACGCCCTCATCAGCAAATTAATACCCAATATTTCAACCAATCAAATTTCCTTGTATAGGATCTGTAGGCGCGTTAAGTTTTAACAGAAAACCAGTACAAATTGTACCGTATTTGTACCCCACGCTACAGTAACCCCCCTTAAAAGTTAATCTATATTATAAGTCATTACTTTCATATACACTGAATTTTCCTATCCACGACTGATCACTAATTCGACATAGTGCCGATTATTTGTGTCTCGAGTGCAAAGCTGGTGTGATTTCTAGGCCGGATCCAGTAGGCAGCGAAGTGGCCGCTCGCTTGTAATAATAATATTAATAATAAAATATAAAATGAGAAAAGTTTACCTGACTGTCTTCAAGAGGGTAAAACCTAGAATTTGAAGAACTTAAAAAGTCATTTAAAAGACGAAGTCAGGAAAGCTTATTTCCCTCATTCTAGAAATCGAAATTTTTCCGGGGGAACCCGGACCCCCTTTTTCTTTGGGGTTCATATTGATTCATTGAATTTTCAAGAGGGGAAAACCTTGAATTTTGAAGAACTTAAAAGTAATTAAGACACATAAGAAGTCGAAAGAGCTCATTTCCTGCCATTTAGGAATCAAAATCTTCCCGGGGGATAACCCCGGACCCCTCTTTTCTTTGGAGCTTATCGATTCTTTGAAAAAATAATATGTATGCAACTAGTAATTTTTTTTTATGTATACACACATAACCGGCCAATTTACTGTATAAGAATGAGAAAGTTTACCTGACCGTTTTCAAGATGGGAAAACCTTGAATTTTGAAGAACAAAGTCATTAGACACCTAGCAAAAAGATACTTCAGAAGTCGGGAAAGCTCATTTCCCACCATTTAATCAACATTTTCCCAGGAAGAACCCGAACCTCCCTTTTCTCTTTGGGTTTATTGATTCATTATACTAATTTTCAAGAGGGGAAAACCTTGAATTTTTGAAGAACTTAAAAGTAATTAAAAGACACCTCAGAAGTCGGAAAAGCTCATTTCCCGCCATTTAGGAATCAAAATCTTCCCGGGAGAGAACCCCCGGACCCCACTTTTCTTTGGAGATTATCGATTCATGGACAAAAGAAAACGTATGCAACTACTCATTTTCTGTTATGTATGTATCACACATAAGGCCTATTCCTGTAATAACAATGGGAAAAAATTACCTGACCGTTTTCAAGAGGGGAAAACCTTGAATTTTGAAGAACTTGAAAGTAATTAAGACACAAAGTCGGAAAAGCTCATTTCCCGCCATCTATGATTTATAATTTTCCCGGGGGAGGACCCCCGACCCCCTTTCCTTTGGAGCTTATCGAGTAATTGAAAAAAGAATACGTATGCAACTACTAATTTTTTTTTAATGTATGTATGTATACACACATAACCGGTGTGTATAACCATAACATAATCAAATTTACTGTAATAGGAATGAGAAAGTTTATCTGACCATTTTCAAGAGGGGGGAAAACCTTGAATTATGAAGAACAAAGTCATTAGATACTTAGCTCAAAAGTCGAGGAAGGTCATTTCCCGCCATCTACAAATCAAAATTTTCCAGGGGGAGGACCCCGGATCCCCTTTCGTTTTTGGGAAAAATGCGACCCCCACCCCCTAGGTTTAATTCCAGATCTGCATGATTCATATTCCCATTTATCGTAAGTGCCCCCCCCCCCCTCCCCGCCCCTTTGAAAAACGTTCCGCCGGCCCTGGTTCTGGTATCGTGAACTTGAGTAAGATAGGACTATCCAGTGCAATAGGTAAACTTTGGTTTTCTGTATTATACTTAATTATAAAAGTCTTTTTAACTAATCAGTTACATTTCAATAATAGCCTGCCATATCTGTCTATCCTACATACTTTTAACCCTCACTTTAAAGTAAAATTGCCAAATAATTTCTTTTTCATAAGCTGGTATAAATATATTATTACTGTACTGCACTTTCTGTGTAAATTGCATTCAGTGAATCAATATATTCAATAGAATAAAACACTAGATTAAAATGTTTACTGATTTCTACTTTATTTGGAATCTAAACCAATTGCAATGTAAGAATGTAAGCATACAAACTATTAGTATAATATAATGTCTACTCCCCAAGCAAAGGTATCTCACACTTTAAATTACTTTGAATTGAACCACCGCCATTATAACATGAAACATTTGAAACATTATATTCAATTATTGAACTTTAATGTACAATGCAAGGTGGTTATATTAATGAAAATGATTAAGTTATTAAATGATAACTAAGCAAGTATTCTATCACAATGATTTTAAAACCACAATATCTAAGTTATAATTATTACTGAGAAAGTCTTGACTTCCATATTCTGTCCAATTAAGTCTCCTATACGTCATTTTATTTGGTCAACACGCAGGCGAAACTTCGCCTTTCATGCGGTTTTTATTTTTGTTACACACTATAGGCCTACAGATATAAAATTAATGTGCATGGCTATCTCATACATTAGTAGTGTAC